TGCTATTTCAAGGATTTAGAGTTTCTTTTTCCCTCGTGTGTGCATAGAAATGAACCATCAGTATTGTTTTTTAATGTTTAGGCAATTTGACTACGCCAGTGGTAGTTAAAGGGCTGTTTTGTGAAATACCCACAGTTTCCATGACGTGTATCGCGACATTTTGTTGGTCAGAAGAAAAGATGGTTGTTCTCTTACCTGACACACAATCATTTGTATTCCTCCGCTAATCAGTAAAACTCTGCGGCCCCATCTATCAACAGTTGCAATAGATATGAAAGTGGATGAAGCAAGTACTGCACCAGTCACAGCCGAAGAGTAGAGAGAAGCATTTCTGCCAAATCCCATACTCTGAAACAACACGGGGGCATAGAAAAGAATGGAATTTATGCCTGTGAGTATCTGAAAAGTTGGCATGAAGATTGCCATGACCAACTGGGGCCTGTTCCTCTTCTCAAGGATGTTTCTGAAAGGATGCTTAATGGAGTTTGCAAGATCACTTGCATCAATTATGTCTTGCAATTCTGCGTGGATATCTGAGGTTCCCCTGATTTTCTCGAGAACTTTTTGTCCCTTTTCTTTTAATCCTCTTTCAATTAAGCTGTTAGGTGTTTCAGGAAGAAATATTCCACCTACTGCCATCAAAATAGCTGGTGCTGCTGCAAGGCCTAGGGAAAGCCTCCACCCCCATGGCCGAAGCTTTTCTGTTCCATAATTTATCATGTTTGCTGTGAAGATCCCAAGTGTCGTTGCCAATTGAAACATCATATTAAGGCCTCCTCGAAGATGAGTTGGTGCCATTTCTGACAAATACAGTGGCACTGCCTTCAAGCACGAACAAGAAAGAGTGAGCAGGTAATTTGCAATACTTCCACTTTTAACATTTTCTGACTTGGTAAGTTTTTATATATGGAGTTATGCTACATTTTATTATCACGTGGCATTTGAGTTCTTCTATGCTAAGATAAGTCATTTTTTGATAACGTAGAAACCCGGGCTGAATCAGTTCAATGGGGGAGATAGTTTACCTGGTTGCCAAATCCAATGCCAACACCAAGCATGATCCGACCTAAAATGAGCATCACCAGATTTGCTGCTGAAGCGTCTAAAGTTGCTCCTATAATAAAGCTTAATCCACCACAGATGATACTTGTTCGACGTCCATGCTTCCTTGTGATAGGGGATGCTACCAGAGATGACACCAAGCCAGAAAGATATAGAGAAGAGGTAAATGCTGCAAGGCCTTGGTTGTTGTATTTGCAGTAGTTGTTTTCATGCGCATGCTTTTTTTGTCTGTAAACTACAGGGAAGAATTTTTCGAGAAATCCATCCATTGAGGTGACTCCTCCTGTTAAGAATAATTACAGACGTATTCAGTTTCTCAGGCATTCACTGGCATATTAGTTCTTGTTCCCATATCCCATTTTATATGCATTGTTTCTTCAGTTATAAGCTTATATTTGACAGCCATTCAACCCCACCACTACCAGCTAAACAACCCGAAATTCACTGTCTGAAACTTTTATCTGTACTTCCTCAGTTACGATACAAATTACTCACCGAATTCACACACACACACACACCCCAAATATTAAACATATTTCGTATCTAAATTCCTTCTTTAACTTTGGGGTCTGAGCCTGTTCGGTCACCATATCCTTTTAGGCCCCCAATCAGGATTCAGGACCAACCGAGCTGTTAGTTTTGTTGGAACACATAGTTGTCTCAAGATCTTGCTATCAAAATAAATGAACATAAAGATACATATAATTGTGCTTCTTTCTTATAAGGGGCACTCTTTGTGGCAGGTAAGAAAGAATTTGAAACAGAGATTTCATTGATGTACTAATAAAGTTTGTACCTGAAATCCCAATATCATAGCCGAAGAGTGATCCTCCTACAGCAGCAACTATACAGGCGATGATAACAAAACCAGTGACCCTTCCCTTATACTGCTCTGCTCTCTCTTCTGCCACCCCACTTGGCGCAAAAGACCCTCCCGCCATGGCTATCTACCTTCCTCCAAAAGCTTGGCTGAGGTATCTGAATTTCAATTCTTCACCAAGGAAGATAAGTTGTACCTACACTGAACAACTTCGAAACATCGGCCAAAATGCATCAGCTTTCATTTTTATGATACAAAATACAACATAATTCTTATCTCTTTAATGTGGGACCATCATGGCAGTCCTTATTTCTGACTATTAATTAGTATCAACGGATCAATATGCACGGCACACTAAATACTGCAAAAGGTGGACTTCTAGGGTGTTGACACATTTCCATTATTAATTTCGTAGTTGTAATAAATTATATCACCATCGAAAACAATGAGATTATAGTGGATACAACACATTAAAAATTAGCCAAGTGTGCTTGATGGTGAAACTAACTTCGATAACTAGTAGACACGTCCTTTATGCATATTCAATTTTGTCATGTTTAATGCACAAAATATCGTAAACGCTCCCTCCATTTGGTTTCTCGTATACACATCGGGATGAGTCAAAAGCATAGAATATGTGTTGTGCAACTAACTTAAGTTATATATGTTGATCATGAAGAAAGTGACACGGTAATCTATTTCCGTATCAAGTAAAAATCAGGAATCGTGCAACACTATTTCTGGAAAAAATAAAATAAAATAATTCGACGATATGTGGACCTAACTCCTAAATATTGTTTGAATGACGATTTTAGTGGTATAGTTTATCAAGATTAATTTGAATTTTAGAAGTAGATGTCATAAATGTTGGCAGAGTAATAAATTTTTGTAACTGCAATGTGATCCAAAAGTTTGAAGTGTTTCTTCTAGTTATAAATGATTTCATCTAAAAGTACTTTCAGTATAAGAAATTGTTTTAAAAATTAGTTTGGATACAAAAATTAAGATAATTTTCTTATAGAACTCTTCTACACATAAAGCAAAAACAAAAGACATTCCAAATTGACCCTAAATCTTGCAGAGTGGGTCCATTGACATTATCACACCACCAAGATTTCAACAGATATGACTCCACTAAATTATTATCATACTACATGCTAATATTAATTTCGTCGATGTATTTTAAGTTAAATTTGCACTTTCTCATGCTTATATCGATAGTTAATAGAATCACAAAATAGGAATAGAATTGGACAAAAGCAGTTAGCCATCACAAGTAGACTACACATGATGCGAGTCTAAGTACCGATTTGAGATTTCTAGGTAAAGTTCTTGCTTTAATAAATGATACTGAAATGCACCATTTGATTGACTCCTTGCGAAAATTGTACATGTGCCGTTTTTCTTTGTAAAGTGATAAGTATAGTTTCTACACTAATTTGAAGCTCTAAATAATGATACTTTATTGTCTTTTGGATAAAATTTTACATAATTTATGCTATATTGCATTTTGCAATTAAAAAATTAAAAATTTATGTTTGATCAAGAATTAGAGAAAAATAATGCATAATAGTGAAAAAAAATGGTAAAATTTAAAGTATGGGGACTAAATTGGTTATTGGATGCAAAGTTTGGAGATTTAATTTCATACTTAGATATAGTGGATTAAGGACTTAAATGATAATATAGTATTAATGACCTTGAATTGGAGGCCCAAATTTAGAAGGCCAATACATACATACATACACACACGCTACAAGGAGGAGAAAAAAAAAGAAAAGAATAATGCTACACGTACTGAAATTATATCACAGAAGAATTACAGAATTTCAAAAAATCAGACGTAGCGCTGGAAGATTCATTATCTCCTGACATGTGAGAGCCACCAACCCCCTTTTACCCACCCACCCAACTACAACCCAAAACAGCCACCCCTCCCCCTTTTCCTTATTTTGTCTTAATTTTTGGAATTATCACGGGATATCAAACGAAGTCGAAATCTCGTATTCTTAACACCAT